CATGGTATTATCTCTACTCCTTTATATTGTCTAAGAGTTGCCCTGTGACATAATATATGATCTATTTTTGAGAAGGATCCATGTGCTGCTGAGAAAAAAGTGTAACTGCTTGATGTTGGGTGGTATATTCTATATATGTCAATTAAGTCTAGGTTATTAATTGTGTTATTGAGTTCTATAGTTTCCTTATTCAACTTTTGTTTGGAAGATCTGTCCAGCGGCGAGAGAGGTGTGTTGAAGTCTTTCATGATTATTGTTTGGTGGTCTATTAGACTCTTGAACTTGAGAAGAGTTTGTTTGATGAACATAGCTGCACCATTGTTTGGGGCATATATATTTATGGTTGTTATGTCTTGTTGGTGTATGGTTCCCTTGAGCAGTATGTAGTGCCCCTCTTTATACCTTTTGATTAACTTTGGCTTGAAATCTATTTTATTTGATATGAGTATGGACACTCCTGCTTGTTTCCGAAGTCCATATGAGTGATATGATTTTTCCCAACCTTTCACCTTCAGCCTATGTATGTCTTTTCCTATCAAATGCGTCTCCTGTAGGCAGCATATTGTTGGGTCTTGTTTTGTGATCCATTCTACTAGCCTGTGTCTCTTAATTGGTGAGTTTAAGCCATTAACATTTAGGGTTATTATTGAGATATGGGTTGTTCTTCCAGCCATATTTGTTTATTTATGTTACTAAACATGGTTTGTTTTCCTCTTTGATTATTTTTCCCCCCTTTACTGTCCTACCTCCCACTGTTGGTTTTCATTGTTATTTTCCATTTCCTCTTCCTGTAATGTTTTGCCGAGGATGTTTTGAAGAGATGGTTTTCTAGCTGCAAATTCTTTTAACTTTTGTTTATTCATGGAAGGTTTTAATTTCATCTTTCATCCTGAAGCTTAATTTCGCTGGATACACAATTCTTGGTTGGAACCCATTTTCTTTCAGTGTTTGAAATATGTTATTCCAGGATCTTCTAGCTTTCAGAGTCTGTGTTGAAAGGTCAGCTGTTATCCTGATTGGTTTACCCCTAAATGTAATCTGCTTCCTTTCTCTTGTAGCTCTTAAAATTCTCTCCTTATTCTGTATGTTGGGCATCTTCATTATAATGTGTCTAGGTGTGGATCTCTTATGATTTTGCACATTCTGTGTCCTGTAGGCTTCTAGGATTTGGGATTCTGTCTCATTCTTCAAGTCTGGGAAGTTTTCTCGAATTATTTCATTGAATAGATTGCTCATTCCTTTGGTTTGGAGCTCTGTACCTTCCTGTATCCCAATGACTCTTAAGTTTGGTCTCTTTATGTTATCCCATATTTCTTGGATGTTCTGCTCATGGTTTCTTAACAGTCTTGCTGAGCTGTCTATGTTCTTTTCCAGTTGAAATACTTTGTCTTCATTGTCTGATGTTCTATCTTCTAAGTGTTCTACTCTGCTGGTAGTATTCTCCATTGAGTTTTTAAGTTGGTTTATTGCTTCCTGCATTTCTAGGATTTCTGTTTGTTTGTTTTTTATAACCTCTATCTCCCTGTATAGTTGATCTTTTGCTTCCTGGATTTGTTTGTGTAATTCATTGTCGAAGTGATCTTTCATTGTCTGATTTTGCTGTCTAATGTCTTCCTTGAGACTCCAGATCATCTGAAGCATGTATATCCTGAATTCTTTATCTGACATTCCATCTGCTGCAGCTATTACCTCTTCTAAAGTTGAGTTGACCTGCATTGCTTGTGGTCCTTTCTTTCTTGTCTTTTTCATACTGCTCACGTTTCTTTCTGCTTGGTGAAACTGTTGTGTTTTTGAAATTTTTTCCCCCTATATATTTATATTGCTCTTGTATAGTTGAAAAGGCTCCCTTGCAGGGTCAGGCAGCGGTCTGCCTACCTTGTATGCACGGGTGGCGGCTCTGCTCTGCCCCTCCTCCAATTGGTGTGACATGTCTACCACACCCGCGGACCCCTGGGCCTGGTCTGCCGGTCGGTCGCAGGTCTGCCTACCTTGCAGGCGCGGGCGGCAGCTCTGCTCTGCCCTTACTTCAGTTGGGGTGAAGTGTCTACCATGCCGGCGGGTCGCTGGGCTTATTCCGGGTGCGGGATGCGGCTCTGCTCTGCCCCTACTCCAATTGGGGTGCTGTGACTACCACACCAGCGGGTCACTGGTCCTGTTCCCGGTGCGGGTGGCGGCTCTGCTCTGCGCCTACTCCAATTGGGGTGACGTGACTACTGCGCCGGCGGGCCGCTGGGCCTGTTCCGGGCGCGGGCGAAGGCTCTGCTCTGCCCCTACTCCAATTGGGGTGATGTGTGTACCACGCCGGCAGGCCACTGGGCCTGATCCGCCGGTTGGTTGCAGGTCTGCCTACCTTGCACGCATGGGTGGCGGCTCTGCCCTGCCCCACCTACCATGTCCGCGGACCGCTGGGCCTGTTCTGCCGGTCGGTCGCAGGTCTGCCTACCTTGCAGGCGCGGGTGGCGGCTCTGCTCTGCCCCTACTCCAATTGGGGTTACGTGACTACCACGCTGGCGGGCCGCTGGGCCTGTTCCGGGCGCGGGCGGCGGCTCTGTTCTGCCCCTCTGGCTTGATGACAAACTGAGAGAGACTCGGGTGTTTGTGACTCACTTTCTTTACCAGGAGACCAACTGTTTCTGTCGCCGCTGGTATCGATGAAGTTCTCTCCTCTGCCGCTTTCTGATGACATCAGATCTCTGCCATGTTGGTATCCCATGCGAATGGCAGCATTTTGTTCCCTTTGCCGGGTGACCAAAGCAATGGGTGAATCCTGATCGGCCCTCACAAGCCCCGTCTCAATCCTGTTGCCACTGCCTATGAAGGCTCGGTTGGTATTTACCTCCACAGTATTCAGCAGGACCCGGACCGAGAAGCAGTTTCCACGGGATCTTTAGCCCTGGGCCAGAGCAGTTCCGGGAGCCGGAATTCAGCCGCTCCGTGCTCGGTGTATGTTCTCGAAGCTACTTTAAAGAGAACAACTATGAAGTGACTATAGTCAAATGTTTCAGAAGTAGTCCAGTGGACCATAGGCCATAGGATTTTAGTCACCTTTGCATCACTGTAATAAAAAGACCAAAGGAGAACAACTTAGAGAAGGAAAGTTTATTTTGGCTCACAATTTTGGAGTGACAGGCCATTGTCACCAGGTCCACAGTTCTGGGCCTCAGGTGAGCAGAACGTCATGGCAGAAGCACAACAGATGATAGCAGCTGAGGACATCGCAAGGAGGAGAAGGAGAGGTGCGGGGAGAGCACTCTGCTCACCAGGGAAAATACAAACCTCAAAGGCACACCTTTAGGGACCCACTTCACCCAGACTCACCCTACCTGCCTGTAGTTACCACCCCATTAATACATTAAAGTGTCTTAATCCACTGGCTTGGTTATAACTCATCATCTGATCATTTGTCTTATGGACCTTCTGCATTGTCTCACACATGAGCCTGTGGGGGCATCACGTATTTAAGCATAATATGCTTCACCCTGTGTTCAGTGCCATCTAGGAGGAGAAGGAGCATGCCCAGGATTCTAATTACAGTGGGAGTTGTGTGGACCATGCCTATTCCCACTTCCTGGAGCTCACACTCTCACCTTCTACTAGCTGCACTTTGGATTCAGAGCAGGAGGATGTAGCATAGAACATGTATCCTTATCAGCTGGAATCCAAATTCCCAGGGATAAATGAATACTTATGGTTGTCTTCTGAGGCTTCTAGGAGGAAAGTGTAGAAACCATTGAGAGATTGATATGCAGTACAGAACTGTAAAATGGTCAATAATCAATCCTTTGTCACTTGCAAAATTGACCTATGTCCACTCTCCATTCTTTTGGAGGTTTTAGGACATACTCTATTTGAAAGTGAAGGATTAGAGCTATGTGGGTGACATCACACTCCCCCCACACAGACATATCCCCTGCATTCATGCACTCATGCATATTTCATCACAGAGTATACATGATCCTACTCAGCCACACTTATGTATGTACGTGCATACACTCATTCCCATACTCTCACCTTCACACAAACTCACAATGCAGTCACCAACACAACTGTCATGTTCTCCTCTGTCACACAATCACTCACAAACTCATTTCCTCTGAGTGTATCAGGAACTTGTGCATATATTTAAAAAACTGTCCTGATTGTCATCAAAAGTTTGGTGCTTATCACTGTAGCCATATAAAAATGAAGATATCATTTTTAGAAAAGGGTATAAGGATTTTATTGCTTTACTCTCCAAGGAGAAGCAGAGGAGACTCCCAGAGGCTGGGATTCTGCCCCTCAGAAAGAAGAGGAAGTTTTTAAAGAACAGATTCATTCTGGTGCTCCCTGAGGAGTGTGTGTGTGTGTGAGATTCATTTGATAACTTGGGAATAGCATTCCTTAGACTTTCTGGCTCATCCCTGAAGTCTGAATTGCTTGGTTTCCATTGTGGTTGGGTGCTGCAATTCAGATAACTTGGCTTAGTGTGGGAGAAAGGTAATCCTGTTTCCTGAGGATATGGAGAGGGAGAGGAAGAGAGAAAGGAAGAGAGAGAAGCCTATTTTAAAATAAGCCACAGTGGCAGAGCAGAAAGGTCAATATTTAAAGGTGGACTACTGTGACGTTTTCTCCAGGCCTGTGAATGTCAGCAGGAGGGTCGTCACATCTGCTCTTTACATTCCTTCCGTGTCCCCATAGCCCTCCAGGACAGCATTTCACCCATGTGGCATTTGAGTGTGCTCTGGTGTTTGCTGATGATGGGGGGTGGTGAGAGAGCTGACCTGAGCTGAGGTCTGCTTGAGTTCCTCTGTGAGAGCAAATGGAAGTCCTATGGGTTAGGTGATGTGCGGGGGCTCGTGGCTGGGCACTGTGGGGAGTACAGTAATAGGGACATGGCTGTGGAAGAAAGGGCACATGGGCTACAGGGGCTGGTGCATCTTGAGTGCAGTGGGGGGTTTAAGGAACCAAAGAGCAAAGTGTGCACAGAAATTAAGGGGATGAGACAGTTGGGGTCTCAGATCCTATGGGTGCAGCAGTCCTGGGGACAAAGGATACAGTGGGGAGGCGGAGACCATGAGCTCAAGTGTCTGAAAGACAGAGGTGGAAAACTTTAAGGACAGTTAAAATCCCCAGGGATAAAAGACCCAAGGGAAAAAGTGCATTTAAATCATCCCTTCATTTAAAGACTATTTGGATGGAAAGACAAACACACAGACACATGGACAGAAGAACTGCAGAAATCTTCCCCATGTACAGCTGCAAAGGCAGGTGGGCCACACAGGAGATGCTCTCAGACATCAGGTAGCAGCCAGTGGGATGGCTTCAGTGAGGAGGTGGGATTGTCAGGGCTCCCAGGCGCTGTGTGCAGTGACTGGTTGGAATAATTTCATGGGCTCAGGAATTGAGGGACCGTGCCTAGTTGTCTGCACCTAGCTCTTGGGAAATTTGGTCAGTTGACTAATAGCCATGTGCGTGAGAGCCCAGATAGAGATACTGTTTAAATGTGGACTTAATCAGTTGCTCAAGTAAAGAAAATGTTTATCGTCTAGCCAGGGTCTCAAAAGTGTGTCAAGGGCTGGGATTGTGGTCCACTGGTAGAGCCCTTGCCTGGCATGCATATGGCACTGACACCACGTTAAAAAGCAGATAAATATGCAAAAATATTGTGTCCATCTACAACTAAAATTTATTTTTTTAAAAAAAATTGTGTCAAGCTGGGCACGGTGGCACCCAATTATCATCTTAGTGACTAGGGAAGGTAAGGGAGGGTGATCCCAAATTCAAATCGAGCCTCAGCAAAGTGAAGTGCTAAGCAACTCAGTGAGACCCTGTGTCTATATAAAAGACAAAACACAGGGCTGAGTATGTGGCTCAGTAGTCACATGCCCCTGAGCAATACTTAAGTACCACCCCCCCAAAAAAAAGAAAAAAAGTGTGTCAAAAAGTTTAAAATGTGTGTGTGTGTGTGTGTGTGTGTTTATGTCTGTTGATAAATTGAGGTCCTGGGAGTTGTTAGAAGTACAGTAGAGAAGCTGAGGGTGGAGACAGGAGCCAAGACCGGAGTTTGAAGGATAATGGGACAAGGAGGCATAATGGTAGCTCTTGGTGACTCAGGGAGGTTGGGAAGACTGTTGGGCTGAACAGAGTGAAGGCCCCAGAGGAAAAGTGCAGGAGCAGATGGGGATATAGTATAGTATCCCACAAAAGGTTTGTGGCTGAGATTTCCAAGGAGGGCCATAGAGGTCATGGGTGCTGGGTTGAGGTCATTTGAATGAGCATGGATATTGATCCCCGTGGAGGAAGTCACAGAGGTGAGAGAAGGTGAAGAAAGTGTGTTAGTCCTTTTTTTCTGTGACAAACACTAGAGGAAAACTCCTTAAGTAGGAAAGATGTCTTAGGCTCATGGATTTAGGCTGTGGTTGCATTCCTCCACTGCTTGTATCTAAGGTGAGAACACATGGAGACACAGGGATCCAGGTGCCTGTCACCAGCTCACAAGGAAGAGCAGGCTCACCACCAGTAGGACCCCATCCTCCCATTTCTAATCACCTCTGTCCTTACCCAGGTCAGATAAGGTCACTTTCTGCTGTACATTGAGAAGTAGGGCTTAAGACTTTTCAATATACGAATTTGGGGAGTACAGAATTCAAGCCATGTTGCAAATTGGTGCAGCCACTACACAAAGTGATATGGAGATTCCTCAAAAAACTTGTAATGGAACCACCATTTGATCCAGCTATCCCACTCCTCAGTTTACACTCAAAGGACTTAAAATCAGCATACTATAGTAATGCAGCCACATCAATGTTTATAGCATCTCACTTCACAAGATCTAAACTATGGAACTAATCTAGGTGCCCTTCAACAGATGAATGGGTAAAAAATTGTGGTATATATACACAATGGAATATTACTCAGGATTAAAGGAGAAGGAAATTATGGCATTTGCCAATAAATGGATGGAGTTGGAGAATACTATGCTAAGCAAGATAAGCCAATCCCCAAAACAAAGGCCAAATGTTTTCTATGATATGTGAATGCTAATTCACAATAAGGGGATCCGACTTGGGAAGAAAATAGTTACTTCTTTAAAAAAAGAATATTTTTAAGTTATACATGAGCACATTATCTTTATTTTGTTTGTTTATTTTTATGTGGTGCTGAGGATGAAACCCAGTGCCTTATATGCACAAGGCAAGCACCACTGAGCACAACCTCAGCACTAGAGTTCCTTTTGATTATATAGAGGGGTGTGAAGGGAGGAGAGGAGGTGTGATAGGAAGGATAGTAGGAAAAAAATCAGGCATTATTACCTTATGTTAATATATGCCCGCATGACTGATGTGATTCTGCAACACGCAGAAAGAGAAAAATGAGAAACTATTCTCTATTTATGTATATCAAAGTGCATAAATGCATTCTACTGTAATGTATAACCAATTATAACATATAAAAAACAAAAAATGGATTCAAGCTATGAAACAATGTATATGTATACATATAAAATTCAAAAGGCATATTTTCAAATTGTAGCTGTGTGTTTGCAATATAAGAAGAAAGCTGCCTAGAGAATTGGAAGGAAAGGGATTTTTTTTCTTTCACAGGCAAATGTTAAACCTTCCATCCCATGTTCCACCCTCTTCCATTAATGCAACTCATTCTGTGTTGGCTAAGAAGTTGACAATTTAGTCCACACAGACAGACATGTACATCAGTGTTTATAGCAGCTTCATCCTAAGGAAACAACAGAGGAAGAAACCCTCAAGGAGGTCTTCAACAGGCTCCTGGAGCAATTTCTGTGGTTGTCCAGACTAGAGGATATCATCCAGTGGTGAAGAGCAATGAGCTATCCTGCCATTGAAACACAAGGAGGAACCTAAAACTGCAGGTTTCTAAATGCACGAAGGCAATCTAAAAGGCCACCCTGCAGAGCTCTTCTCTATGGGCAATTACAGACACCCCATGAGAGGGTCAGTGGGTGTCAGAGGACTGCAGAAGGGAAGGATGGACGGTAAAGCACGGTGGATTTTTAGGGCCCTGAAACTTCAGTAGGATATGGCAAAGATGGGTCCATAACACACATTTTTCCAATTTTATATGCAGTTACAACAAAGAGTGAACTCCAAAGTAAGCAATGGACTTCAGCTCAGAATAATCTACACACAGTTTGATGCTGTAACACAGATCACACATATTCCAGATGTCACAGTTATGGAGACTATGTGCAGGGAGTAGGGGTATATTGAACTCTAGCATATGCTCGATCGTTCTTTAAATACAGATTGCTTTAAAAGCTGAAGTATTAACGTAAAGATGTATAATGCATCAAAACCAAATGGCTCTTACCTTGGAAGTGAAAGGTACATTCACTATTGATAAGGAGTATCATTCAGTACACTAAGTGACTAAAGGAGCAAAACCTCTTCAGGGCATGAACAGATGACTAGGAGCATTGGACAGCACTCCAACTGCATTCATGATAAAAGTGCTTAGCAGGTGCTGTAATGGGCACTTCCCTGATAACATTGTTAACCACTACCCTATGTGCCCCCCCCCCAAAAAAAAAAAAAACATCATCACACATCCCTACATCCCTTAGCAGCTCCAGGACTGCCAGGATCAGCATCCTGCAGAGCTTTGGCCACAGAGCAAATGCCAGTCCAAGACAATGCCACCTCCCAGCTGCAATGGACCTGTGCAGTACAGCGGTAGTCACCGACCAGCACAACCCTAACTTAGATGTCAGGACAGGTGGACAGTGAGTCCACACAAGTGTATCTGCCCTCCAGGGACAGCCTGAAGTGACACAGGAAACGTATTTTCCACTGTGTGCCACTAGTTGACCTGTGGGAATGGGTGTCCTGATCCTCATGCTGGTACTCAGGAATATTTGGCCCTGGGAAGATGTGGCAGTTTGCCCTGAGATGACAGTAAATGGTCCCCACTGGACTGTCATTCAAACAGTACTGCTCTGAGCTCAGTTCTCCACCTAGGGGACCTGCTCTGACCTTTCCTGTGTCCCTACCTGCACCAGCAACTCCATTATTTACAAATGAATTGGTTCTCATATGAACACAAACCCGCCCCAATACATAAAGGTATTGTGATTTAGAGAGGGGTTAGTGCTGCATTTTAAGATTGAAGGTGAGGCCAGGAGTGGTGGTGTATGCCTGTAAACCCAGTGGCAGCTGAGGCAGGAGGATCCCAAGTTCAAAGCCAGTCTCAGCAACTTATCAAGGCCTTCAGCAACTCAGTGAGACACTGTGTAAAACTTTTACAAAGTAACTAAGTTCTATGGACGTGGCTCTGGGTTTAAGTGCCACTGAGTCCAATTCCCAGAATATAGGGGGGAAAAGGGTAGGTGAGGATGTGACCATTTATCTATTATATGTAAAAATATCTGTGTATTTTTTTTAACAAAATGTGGAAGCGTGAAGTTATACTGCTACTGTTATGTAGAGCCCAGAAGGAGAGGTTTGATTCCTTCATGAGGAACTAGGCCTTTCCTCCTGGAGGTAGGCAGGCAGAAGGGGTGCTTTGCTCCAGGCAGCTCCCCTTTCTCCCGCCAACCGCAGTCTGGGCGGTGTGGAGTGGCCCAGGTGGATGCTGCACAGGAAAGGAGTTTGCATCCCACCCAAGGATCCCTACACACAGGAAAACAAACCCTTTCAGGAGAATTCTGAATAAGCCTGCCTGTTCCTTGTCCCTGAGAAATATTATCTTCATTTCATTGTGCAGAAAAAAAAAAACTTTCCCCTTTATTCCAGAATTTGATGCTAAATCTGTCTTCCCAAGCTCTGTTTTCACAACTAGTCAAAAATTAACAGTTTGGAACAAACTTTCTTGGAAGCTATAAACTTACTGATCATAGTAAGAAGAATTATCCATGAACAAGGTGCACTACTCATTTCTCCACTGCATTTACTCCAGAGAAAATTTCCAGGAGTGCAGCACTTGGTCGACTAGTGATTCAACTGACCTGGAAGGACTGAAGAACTCATCCATTCCATGTGCCTCCAGGAACAGGAACTAGGATGGCTGTCTACAGCATGCTGTGCATAGGGTGAGGACCACCAGCTCTGTTCCCCTCCACCACAACTATGTGGGTCCCACAGTCAGCCAGCTAAGGACTCCAGTGCTCTTTAGGGTTTTCAATAGAAAGACAAGTGACACTTCCATCCATTTTTCTGTTGATGTTTTGAGTGTAAATACTTAAACATTTGTGTAAAAATATGCAACTGATGTAATTTTGATACAATTAGGCAGTTTTTAATTGTATTTGGAACTGGCAATGAAGACCAGGATTGCTTTGCTCCTGAGCTTCATCTACAGCATTTCTTGTTTATTATTCTTGAGATAGGGATTACATTGTCGAGGCTGGCCTTTCATTTGTGATCCTCCTCTCTGGGTCTCCCAAGATTTGGAGAAAATAGTTTTTTCCACAGTACTCAGCAGGATTTGTTAAATTTTTTATGCAGACAAAGCAGAGTCTGGATAGTTTGGATACCGTGAATTCATGGGTCATGAGAAGAAAGGGGCTGACAGTGGGAAAACACAGTGAAATTAGGTCATTAATGTTCACCTCCCACCAAACGTGGTTTGAAAACAGAGCAATATAAAGACTTAATAGGGAGGAGAGGGTGTGGAAAGTCACAAAGGTTCCCACCAGGACAAGGATTCTCTGGGTGGCTCTGGACTCAGGGCAGGATCTTGGGGAAGCTTTGATGCTATGAATGTGCTGAACCCTCTGCTTGTGCCTGTACAGAAGGAGAACCATGGAGCCACTGGACCAGATCATGAGCACGGAAAATACAACCTCAGGAAATACAAATAATGCTGCATATAATGAATCTGTGAATTTTTCACGACCTACAGTAAAACAGTACCCATAATCCCTTTTCTCTGTTGTGTTTACACTGTTCCATTTGCTGTGTATATAGAGAGGAAAAATGGAATTCACCACCATGTACAGGATCCAGCAGAGGGAAATGGAGAAGCCAATGTACTTTGGAGCTTTTCCTTTGAGATCCTTCCAACAGGAGTTCATGGGGCTGATGGTGATGTTCTGGAAGATGCTCAAGAGGCAGGTGATGAAAATGGACACACTCCTGCCCACCCGCTGAATATACAAAATAACATGGCATCCAGAAATACTGAAGAAGTATCTCAGCCCAAAAGCAATCATTGTGTGGGGAATTCCTCTAGCGAGAATGACCAAAGAGTTGGCTACCATAAGGTGCCCAAGAATCAAATCTGTGGACCTTAATGTGCACCCACTGCAGGAAAGCACCAAATGATAATAAAGTACAGAGAAATTTCCCAGAATTCCAACAGCATTCTGTGATAAAAGCATCAGTCCTATTGCCACATTTGTGGGGCCCATTCTGTAATTCAAAACATTGTCCTTTATATTATGGCAAGAGTGGTTCCCCTCAGAAAAATGACTCCTTAATAATAGCTGTGCCCAAGTATCATGGTGAGCACCTTCCCTACTACCTGCAGAGCTGAGGAAAAATGATCACTGAAACCCACAAGTTTGAATCCAGCCTGAGCTACATAGTGTTATCCCCATCTTAAAATAGTTTTTGACACCAAGATTAATTTTCATTGAAAGTACTTGTGGGATTAAAAAGACATCAAGATGTACATGTTGATGGGGAGAATTAACAATGTACTTTATAGGAAAATAAGAATTGATGAGGTGATGCTAAATTGGGAGGAGAAATAAAAAATGAGACCAAATGCTTAGGAAGAATTTAGCATGTACTATTTCAGAATGAACTGATATATTGTAGTCATGTTGGATATAGAACCTCAGTCACTATCCACACCATTCAATAAATCAGATCTCGGTGGATTTCTGACCTAAAGTTTAAAGGTCAGTCATGGCCATTTTTTTTATAATAACAAAAACTATTTCTATGGTTTTAGAAAACAAAACACACATTAAACAGTACAAACACATCAATTTTTACATGTCTGTGTTTTATGCTCGTGACTGTTCACTGTGCTCTCTCCTCAGCTTCCTTTCTTACATCCAAAGTCACAATAGTTTTAAAGCATAATATTTATTCTGAAAATGGACCACTGGACTTTCTATTGCTCATATTGTTATTTTAGGAATAAAAGAATAGTGTAATATATAAGTGAACTATTAGGAAATATACTTTGTTCCTAAACAATGGAACATGACAAATTAGTTTAAAATGAAAATGAAGTCCTCACCGATTTCAGGCTAAAAGTGTCTGTGCATTGATAGATACATTGGTGAAACTCTTAGTAATGAAACAGGATTTGTGGAGGACATTTCAATACAAGAGATGCATCAGTAGAAGTTGGAGGCTATGAATTCTACCACTTTGCATGAATTGAAATAAAAAGAAAAATATCCTGAGATTATGATAAATATTGTAACATTACTACACAGGAAAAGTTCTCATCATTATAATGTTATAGTCTGTATGTCCAGCAGGGAGAGAAGTCTAGCCACAGCCATCCCAGCAGACGGATTCAGAGGAGACACAATTCCTATCTGCACTAGGTGGATTGTAATGTAGAGTTGGAAAAAACAGCTTTTATTCCAGAAACAGTCCCAGGTCTGGGCTTCTGCACAAGAGGAGGTGGTCCTTACATTTCCATCCTCATCTTCACTATAGGCAGGAATGGCTTAAACCCACAGCCATTGTAGCAGTTCAAATATGTTCTATGATTTTCTAAAGTAACAAGAAACGCAGATTAGTTGCTAACTAGAGACCTTCAACACCTTCCAAATCAGAACTCTCTTAATGAATTTTTTTATTCACCTAAAAACGTCTTCAGTAATAATTTTGTTATAACTTTAGGAGCCACAAGGAGTTGGCACCAAGTCAGGGACACTCTCTTTTACTACTGCGATCATAGTGAAAGAATTATTCCTCTTTTGTCTGCCTTCCCACCAAATCTCTTTCTACCCCAGAATTTGTTTATTTCCTCTGCAGACTTTAGCAGAATTTTGATCAATTTTCTTACTATCTCTTCTGAAACAAAAGACTGATATTGAAAATACTCACTGTGCTTCTTGTGTGCAAGGTGCTGGGCTCAGTGTGAGGTCCTGACAGCCAGCATGGAGGGAGGGAGGCAGCTGGGCCCTGAGATAAAGGTCTGTGCTCCTGTGACCTCACTTCCCCTCAGGGCTGCAATTATCACTTCACCTGGAGAGGCAATGACAGTGCAGGCCTGGGGAGCCCAGGACAAGGCTGAAAAACTTTCTCCACACTTGCCAGTTACTAATGCAATTATGAGTTCCTTGTTAGTAACTTCAGAACAAGTGTTGAAGAGTTTGGGAGAGGCTGCTGCTGTTCCATAATTCATGGGGGCTAACAGAGGAAATAGTGAGGTGTGATCCATGAGGGACATACAGAGGGTTTGTGCATCTCACTGGACTCCAGGCTTCCCTGACTAATTACCCCAAATCTTACTAATTCTGCCTCTTTTCCCCTCTTTCTCCATTCCCATCTTCTTTGGGGAGAGGCTGGGACCTGGATCCAGGCCTATCTGGTAGCCCTGTCTCCTCATCTCAGGCAGGCTGGTGTATGGAGAGTGCAGACCACACCCAGGGTGAGTGCTCCTGATTGTGACATCTGATGGTGTCATTACTTCCATGTCTTGGAGATGGAGCTTGTCACCAGGAAGGAGAGTAACCAACAGGATGGGTTACTTGCAGCATATGCTGAAGGGCACAGTGTGGAAACATTAGGGCTTGGAGTCTTAGGCACAGGGTACATGTTCCCCAGCACTGGAAAAGACCTGAGTTGCACTTATGAGGACTTGGGTGTCCTGTAACCAGCTCCCAGGGGAGACATACATGAAGATCTCCTCCATTATTTTTCATGGAGTCTTGAAGGAGCCAGTGCCTCTTGGAGGTATCCAAAGATGACCTGCTTAACCAGAACTGCATGAAGCACTTGGCTCTGTGGTATAGCAGCAGTTGATATAAAAGGCAGAGTTCTAGAAGACATAAGCTGATCATAAACAGCAGATTGCAGAGCAGAAGTGAGATATCCAGCAAATGTGTGTAATCCATAGGGTCAATTCTAGCTTTCAAACCTGCAGGAGAGAATAGAACACTTGGAGTTCCTGGAGTGGGTGGAATCCCTGAAGCCAGCCACAGTGACCTGCTGGGCAGGATGATCTGGAACTCTGGGCTGCATGCCAGGATTTGGATCAATCAGTCCTTGGTGGAGTGTGTCAGTCTGGCCTCTATTGTCAAAGGGCTAAAAATATCCAGGAACATGCTGGTCCCAGTGTCTGGCCAAACTAGAGACAAGCCAGATGAACTGGCCCTACTGTGAGAACTACATGGCTTCATGCATCCCTGGTAAGCAGGTCATGGTCCTGATGTTAATTTGAGATATTCGGAGCTGAAATGACCCCATTGTGACAGTTGTAACTTTACCCATCCATATTAGTTTGAATGGACTGATCCGTTGGAACTGTAGTCAGGTGTGGGGTCACTGGGGGAGACATGTCACTGGGTGTGAGCACTGGAAGAGGGCATCTTTCCTTATGGCTTCTTCCTGTCTTCCCATTCTGCTTCCTGTCTGCCTTGAGGGGAGCAGGTACCCTCTACCATGCCATCTCCCCAAGATGCTCTTCCTCACCTTGGGCCCAGAAGAATGACATGAGCCTTCTGAGACCATGAGCCCAAAAAACTTTCCTCCTCTAGGTAATCCTTGTTGGGTGCCTTTGTCACAGCAATGGAAAGCTTCCTAAAGCGGCCTGCATATAATTTGGGTTACTTTATCTTTTGCAGATCAAGAGGTTCTATGTATCTTTTCTTCAAGAATGGACTATTGGCTATTCCCTAATGAGAAATAAGGACAAGTGGTAACTGTTTAGACTTTATAGCTCTATTGGTTTCCCTTAGTACTACAATGACATTCTGCCAAAGATCTCAAGACTTGGCTTGCCCTTTGTCCCTGGTTCTGGATTCTGAGCTTGAAAAATATCTGTACATACAAAAGAAATAAAAATGTCAAAATTCACTAAAACATCAAAATCCAAATGCACCTTTATTTTAAAAATGTGCACATGTATTGAATATATAAACATACATGTGTCTGTGCATACATATCACTTGGATTTTGTTTATTATGCATCAAATATTCTAGAAAATTATATGTAATATGAATTTATATTTAAACACCTATTTCAACAATGGCAAATCCTTTGGCATAAAATCTGCTTTCTGTTGTTTTATTTCTCATTTGTTGATTCATTTTTAAAATTATATGCCTGTATTTCATATGTATGCCTGCTTTTATGCCTGTGTTAGCTAATGAATATGATATATTCATATTGGCTAATGAATATGATATATTAAATATGGAAAACATTGGTCAAATATTCTCATTATGACACTTGTTCTATACAATTGGTATATTTCTAGATCCAGTTTTCAATCAAAAAATCAAAATGTGAACAAAGAATGTGTGATACTGACCATTCAAAGATGAATAAAAAATAAAGTAATAAAAACCATCCATGATGAAGGTGGTTTTGTGTCCCTAACAGATTAGACAATAAGATGACAAATAACCCAATCAACAAATGGGCCAAGGACCTGAACAGACACTTCTCAGAGGAGGACATAAAATCAATCAACAAGTACATGAAAAAATGCTCACCATCTCTAGCAGTCAGAGAAATGCAAATCAAAACCACCCTAAGATACCATCTCACTCCAGTAAGATTGGCAGCCATTATGAAGTCAAACAACAACAAGTGCTGGCGAGGATGTGGCGAAAAGGGTACTCTTGTACATTGCTGGTGGGACTGCAAACTGGTGTGGCCAATTTGGAAAGCAGTATGGAGATTTCTGGGAAATCTGGGAATGGAACCACCATTTGACCCAGCTATTGCTCTTCTCGGACTATTTCCTGAAGACCTTAAAAGAGCGTACTGCAGGGATACTGCCACATCGATGTTCACAGCAGCACAATTCACAATGGAAGTGTGACTGTGGAACCAACCCAGAAGCCCTTCAATAGATGAATGGATAAAAAAAATGTGGCATTTATACACCATGGAGCATTATGCAGCACTAAAAAATGACAAAATCACAGAATTTGCAGGGAAATGGATGGCACTAGAGCAGATTATGCTTAGTGAAGCTAGCCAATCCCTAAAAAACAAATACAAAATGTCTTCTTTGATATAATGAGAGCAACTAAGAACAGAGCAGGGAGGAAGAGCAGGAAGAAAAGATTAACATTAAACAGAGACATGAGGTGGGATGGAAAGGGAGAGAAAAGTGAAATTGCATGGTAATGGAGGGAGACCCTAATTGTTATACAAAATTACATATAAGAGGTTGTGAGGGGAATGGGAAAATAAACAAGGAGA